ATTTCCAGATCTCAAGATGACGTAGAACATTCGTGTGCACAGCCATAAGTTTCGATTAGTCGTCGCTCGAAGAAAACTTAAGGCGCAACCCTCAGAGGTCGTGTGAACGTTTCCCTTCGGTCTGTAGTATAGACCCCTAGAACAATCACAAATGTGGCGTTCCCGTGCACGGAAACCAACCGACAAGAGCGCTTGGGCCTTGCAAAGTAAGCTGCTGAAGCTGCAGATTTTTCTCTTATCAGGCTGTTGTCTGGCGCTCTCTCATCTGTAGCGCTCTCTCGCCTCATACTCTCCTCTCCGCGCTTAGTCTCTCATTCCCTTAGCACAGCCGACTAGGAAGGATGAGTGAGCTCGGAGAGTGACACTCATTCGTGTAAAAACCCTTATCTTGTGCTATATTGGGATCATCAGGACATTGGAATTTTCAATTACAATATTTGACTAACAAGGAAGGTCTTTCAGGACATGGAGCGCTTTTTCGAAATGGTTTTCTGCATGTTGTAGAGGCTCATGCGAGGAACACAGAACCATGATCCATTTTTCCTGAACGCCTCCAGGAATGTCAAAACAGTGGTGAAGAAATGGTCCAGAGTTCGATCCCCGGTGATGACTAATTTTTGCAATATAGTTTGGCGCCCCCAGATTGCCGCCAAATGGCGCCATCGTCGAGAATAGATGTCATTGTCGTGTTTTGCGGCAATTTGGAGGCGCCAACATAAATTGCAAAAATTTGTCATCACGGAGGATCGAACTTTGGACCATTTCTTCCCCGCTGTTTTGACATTCCTGGGGGCGTTCAGGAAAAATGGACCATGGTTCTGTGTTCCTCGCATGAGCCTCTACAACATGCAGAAACCATTTCGAAAAAGCGCTCCATGTCCTGAAAGACCTTCCTTGTAAGAGCAGATTGCACTAAACTGTGTACAGGGGCTGATCAATTTGCCTTTTCTTGGAGTGTTCTCCGCTGTCACTGTGTGACCAAACACAAGCTATTAATACATGACAAATGCGATCTAAGATTGAAGTTTTGATCATATGACAAGAAAAACTTCATGCGGTTCTCCCCATTCAGAAAACAACAGCAGAAAAGGAAATGACAGAAAAACCAACAAAATCTATTGAGTCGGTGGGAAATTGGATTAGTTGTTCCAACCATGCGGGAAAGAGGCACAAAACCTTCAGAAAGTCATCACTTCTCCCAAGCCAGTGCTCGCAATAGCATCCAAAGCTCACACGTGTATATGGCTAAAATATTCAGTGAGGCAGATGTCCTATCCTCGATGTATACTGGTCTTCTGAAAACTTGAAAAAGGGTGTGAAATCAAGGATGCACAATGTAGCAGTCCAGGCACTGTAATTGACTCAACAAAGTTCAGCGCTTGCCACGCAGATAATCTGGCCTAATGCCCTCCCCCCCCCCCGACCTTGCTGGTCTTCAGTTTTCGATGACGTGTGCCCTGCCCCACAGAATGAGTGACTTGTGTAGCCCTTTGCCCTCCGTCCCCTACAACTGCTTCAGTGGCGGCTGGTAAAACGGTTGTTCGTAATGGTTCAATGACTGTACGAGTCGACTATACAAAGACTTACTTGTTTTAATAGTGGGTATTTTTCCAGCGTCCGACGTACTTTGTCCTCCATTTTCCTTTGCTCTTTGTTGTCAAATGACTTCGTATAAAACACGCCAGTATATGGCGATTCAACACCTCTATCTATCATTCGCTCAGCTTCGTCCGCCATCTTATAATACCATTCCTGTGAGCAGAAAACGATTTTACATCAGAACTAAGAGACTTCTCTGATGGGTTCTGAAATGCTCGAGAAGGTAAAGATAAGATAATTCGCCCTAAACCTGAACATTTCAACCCTAGCAACATGCCAAGGCGCACTATGATTTGATGTCTCCATTCTCATATTTGCGCAAGATCAGTAAACTGAAAGTGGAGGCTCGGTTGGCGTCGGCAGTCAGAGTCGCAATACAAACCAGAGACTCAATAGAGTATCTCGATAAGGTCTAAGGTCTCGTATAGAAGGGGAAGCCATTCGGGGAACAGAACGGATCATAACCGTGAAGATTGCCAAACTAAACGCGATTTCGTAGCTAAAGATGCTCCCTGATAGAGCAGAGCCGTCCTGACGCTGCTGCAGACGCTACACGCTCACCGACTGGCTAATCCCTGTCGCACGTTTTGAGCCGTAGCACTAGAGAGAGCGAGTATTAGCTTTGAAGAGGGCAGCACCGATGAGGGTCTCAACTTGCGGAAATGTACGGGCAAGGAAAGGGTCAGTGCAGCACCGCCCACGCTGCACCTCTGCTTTGATACGAATGGGACTGCTTTCTACCAATGCGCAGATGCTTTAAATTTTGGTGACCATGCTCGTCTGCTAATTCCTTTGCCTTTGGTCCTTATTTCTTTCACCGTGACAGCTCTATTTTCTTCTCGTTTTTTGACAACCCAGTTGTAGATGGCATCTTCAACTTCTTCAACGCTTGGTTTTTTGTATCGTCGGGCTCTCTTCGTTGCTGGCATCTCTTGAAGATTTTGTCGATCAACAACCCACTTTCTTATCATTGCTTCAGTGACTTCAAAATGACTAGCCGCTGCCAAGGTTCCATGCAAATCACGATAATTGACGGCGTCTAGCTTGAAAGCTGCTGTATACGATACGACGTTTCATAGCAGGTGATACAGGATAGAAAGAGTGGTGCTAAGTGGGTTGGGGGGGGGCGGCGGCGCGGCACTTTGCTCACCTGGCCCTCTCGAGCGAGACAGTGTAAACTCGAACATTCCAGCTTTTCACGCATGTCAAGTGACTGCCCTCACCCCCCCCCCCCCTAGACTGCCTACACTCCCCCTGGCCTCACGGATTTCCGAATGTGCCAGGCGAGCAGACTGCCGCGCCACCGCGTGGTCCCCCCCCAACCCACTAGCACCGAAAGAGTATAGAAAACAGTAAGAATAAAGGTAGAGTTGTAGGCTATTATTGCGATAATCATGAGCACACAACGCCAAAAAAACGTATACAAACGTCAATTTCATCACCGCCACGCTTGCCACCTCTGCCTTGATACTAATGGGCTGCCTTCTAATCGTAAACTCCGCTTATAAGGTTGATTCACAGTGTTTTGTTTTTTAGCCGTGTATTTCGTAACACTTACAAAATAAGGGCCATATTTTGCTACGAAAACCTCGAGAATCACTTCTTTCAGAACATCGCGAGTAAGGCACCTTACTCCTGACGCAGAGTTTCTCTTTTCTATTTCTGAAACAAGTACTTGCTGCGAAGAGCACATCAAAAACTTGGATGGTCCAGCGACTTCCAGTCACAATACAGTGCACTTACCACTAGCGTCGGCATTCACAACAAGGATAGATAGCGCTACAAGAGCTAGACGAGATAACATTCTAGTTGTGACCGGATCCCCACTACGCTCACACCTTTTATAGCTGGGACTAGTGCATTTCAGTGAGCAGCCGTTGTCCGAGCAGACAGCCGTGCACTTCGGTTAATTTTGAATATTTTGGTTGGCCACTCGGATTGATTTGCTGACGGCGGGTTTTTCTCCTTGTGAAATTGGCCGACTAAAGCCGTGTGGCAAAAATGGCACGTTCAGTTCTGTTAGGGGTTGGTTTATCTTATTCCAGGGATGAGAGGGGTCAATATACTGACAAACACACCGAAACAAAGCGACAGACTCGCTAGCAAACACCCTACAAACTGGCATAGATGTTTAGTGATTTACAATAATAGTAATAGGACAGCGTACAGCATATTCAATTCTCCTGAATGGAATTGCGAGGACATCTTGATTGGATTTGCTGCGGAAACTCCTCCTGTGGGAGACATCAAGGGTCCCAATCACGAATATGAGATCCATTTTTGGCGCTGGCACCAAAGTGGCGCCACGACTGATTCCACCAAATTCGCTGTAAACTTCTGTATAGGGGTTATTTGGGGTCCTGATTACGAATATGACATTCGTTTTTGTTGTTGGCGCTATTCGGCGCCTATTTCCTGCTCGTCTGCGCCCTCGCACTAATTAGATCGCAATCAGGACTAAGCCTTTGAATAGTGGAGGGCTCCAAAGTGAGTAAGCCACTCCCCTGTGGTCTCACACACTTCATCTTTTGTACAAGGTTGTTGGTCTACACTGCGGAGGATCACTGCCTTTCCCTATACCTATTCTTGGGCCGTAAGTAAGAG